GCGTTCGCGCCAGCACTTCAAGCCACATGGCAACAGGGCATCCCGTTCGAGTGAGGAGGAGGAGGAGCAGGCCCAGACTGGCCGCCACCCGCACCAGGTGCGCAGTATGCAGCAGCAGCCCAGAAGCAAGAAAACAGCAGCGGACGAGGGGAGAAGAAATCGCGGGGCATCAACTGGCCACCTCACCAAGCCTGACCGGGCCAGTCCTGGGCCTGGCCAAGATTGGTGGATTACAAAGATTACCGTCATCACAAGAATGAGAAAACTGTCCAAGAAACTGAGGACTTGGGGTGCAAACCTGTCCAGATACCCGCGGCTCAGCGCAAGGCTTCGCAAGACCCCTGAGCTGGTCCTGACTCAGGAAGTCGCAATCTTCGGAACGAGCCAGAGAAGATAAGGAGCAATTCATTCAGGATCCGTGTCTGAGCCGAGCCAAAGCCAAACCCTGCTTAAATTCGAGGCCAGATGGGGAAACCAGCAAAAAGTCCCTGCCCCCTGGAAACAAAGCTTCCGAAGGACGAGCTCAAGAAGCAGACTGCAGCCTTGGGAGCCAAAAAGCGGAGCATCACCCTGCCTCTCAGCACCTCTTTGCACGATGCCGATGCCGCCTGCATGGATCACAGCTTATTCCACACGAACCTGACAGCCTGCATCTCGGATGGTGGCCACGTTGGGACTCCAGGACTCCAACGACGGCTCCGAAAGTCCTGGGGACACTGCGCGAGAAGCTCCAGGGGGGAATCCCCACGCTGACTCGGTGGACAAAATATGCGGAGATGTCACCATTGAACCATCCGATGCTTCCTCAACCTGGAAGGTTTCTTCTCTGGACCCAACCTGGCAGTACAGCCCACACCCGAAACTCACATCCCGTTTATGAGAAATGATCACGTTCCCTCGACCCCCCCCCCCCCGAAAAATTAGCCCGGCGAAGGACCCAACCATATGCAGTTGTGAGTAATGCTGGTGTGAGTACCGTCTTCGGTGGATCTCCCTATGGGGCCACGAACCGTTTGAGGGGTGTGCCGAAATGGGTGTGGGGGGCGGCATGCGAACGTTGCCACTGGGGCCTTCGGTGGAGCTCCTTATGGGGCCACGAAACGTGTGAGGGGTGTGCCGAATGGGTTGTGGGAGGCATGCGGACCCTGCCACTGGGGCCTTCGGTGGAGCTCCCTGTGGGGCCACGAAACGTGTGAGGGGTGTGCCGAAATTGGTGTGGGGGCGGCATGCGAACGCCGCCACGCTTTACCCTGGAGCTCCCTATGGTGCACGAAACGTGTGAGGGGTGTGCCGAAATGGGTGTGGGGGCGCATGCGAACCCAGTCACTGGGGCCTTCAGTGGAAATCCCCATGGGGCCACGAAACGTGTGAGGGATGTGCCGAAATGGGTGTTGGGGAGGCATGCGGACCCTGCCACTGGGGCCTTCGGTGGAGCTCCCTATGGGGCCACGAACTGTGTGAGGGGTGCGCCAAAATGGGGCGGGGCCGCCATGCGAACCCTGCCACTGGGGACTTCGGTGGAGCTCCCTATGGGGCCACGAACCGTGTGATGGGTGTGCCGAAATAGAAGCATGCGGACCCTCCACAGTGGACTTCGGTGGAGCTCCCCTATGGTGCCACGAACGTGTGAGGGGTGGTGCGAAATGGGTGGTGGGGAGGCATGCGGACCCTGCCACTGGGGCCTTCGGTGCGAGTCCCTAATGGGGCCAGAAAAACGTGTGAGGGGTGTGCGAACATTGGTGCGGGAACATTGGTGGTGGGGAGGCATGCGGACACTGCCACTGGGGCCTTCGGTGGAGCTCCCTATGGGGCCACGAAACGTGTGAGGGGTGTGCCGAAATTGGTGGTGGGGAGGCATGCGAACCCTGCCACTGGTGCCTTCGGTGGAGCTCCCTATGGGGCCACGAAACGTGTGAGGGGTGTGCCGAAATGGGTGGTGGGGAGGCATGCGAACCCTGCCACTGGGGTCTTCGGTGGAGCTCCCTATGGGGCCACGAAACGTGTGAGGGGTGTGCCGACATGGGTGGTGGGGAGGCATGCGAACCCTGCCACTGGGGCCTTCGGTGGAGCTCCCTATGGGGCCACGAAGCGTGTGAGGGGTGTGCCGAAATGGGTGGTGGGGAGGCATGCGGACCCTGCCACTGGGGCCTTCGGTGGAGCTCCCTATGGGGCCACGAAACGTGTGAGGGGTGTGCCGAAATGGGTGGTGGGGATGCATGCGGACCCTGCCACTGGGGCCTTCGGTGGAGCTCCCTATGGGGCCACGAATCGTGTGAGGGGTGTGCCGAAATGGGTGGTGGGGAGGCATGCGGACCCTGCCACTGGGGCCTTCGGTGGAGCTCCCCATGGGGCCACGAAACGTGTGAGGGGTGTGCCGAAATGGGTGGGAGGCATGCGGACCCTGCCACTGGGGCCTTCGGTGGAGCTCCCTATGGGGCCACGAAACGTGTGAGGGGTGGGCCGAATGGTGGATGGGGAGGCAATATGCGGGACCCTGCCCTGGGGCCTTCGTTTGGAGCTCCCCTATGCGGGCCAGCGAAAACGTGTGAGGGGTGTGCGAAATGGTTGTGGGGGGTGGGGAGGCATGCCGGACCCTGCCACTGGGGGCCTTCGGTGGAGCTCCCTATGGGTGCCACGAAACGTGTGGAGGGGTGTGGCCGAAATCGGTGATGTGACGACGAACGACGACGACGCCGACGACGACGCGACCGACGACGACGACGACCGACGACGACGACGACGGACGACGACGACGACGCGACGACGACGACGACGACACGACGACGACAAGCGACGACGACGACGGCACGACGACCGACGACGACGACGACGACGACGACGACGACGACAACGACTAGACGACGAGATGTCTGGGATGATTATGATGATGATGATGATTGATGATGATGATGATGATGATGATGATGATGATGAGGATGATGATGATGATGATGATGATGATGATGATGATGATGATGATGATGATGATGATGATGATGATGATGATGATGATGATGATGATGATGATGGTGATGATGAGGAGGAGGAGGAGGATGATGATGATGACGATGGGAAGAGGGAGGAGGGGGAGCAGGAGAAGAGGAACGCGGGGCACCGTCTCTTCAAAACGAGGACCCAACACCACAAGATGGTTGGGAAAAATCTGGATCGGAATCGAACCCTGCTCCCACAAGCGACAAGATCGGGGGTACACGGGTCGGATGAGAGACCATGGATTCGGGAGAGTTGGAAAAATGGAAGCGTGGTCAAGATATCAAGGGTCGTTGGTCAGGCTGGCCAGCTGACAAGTACGTTACCCACAAGGATATGCAGTGGTGAGAACGTACACGCTCATAATATGCCATAGCGTAACACTGATAATCCAAATGACGCGCTGAACTTGTGATAGTGATACCAACCTCTACGGAACCACTTCAAGTGTAGATACCCTGCAGAAATCTAACTCCAAATCTCCTCATCCACCCCTGGGCCTTCACCACGCGGCCATTGGAAAGCCGCGCGTAGCAGACCTTCCTCAAACCAGAATTAGGTTTCAGAGCCTGCTCCACGTAGACCTCGGCAAGGGTTTACCAAGATGGGGAGATCCAGGACGAGGAACAAGTGAGAGACTGCAGGGTAGCGTTCGATGGTCCGAACAATGAGAATAGCGACGGTCTCATTCGTTCTGACCGTTCTCTGGGGATCGGTTTCGTCCGGGATCGACTTCGTCGCTGCAAGAGATCTGCGCCAGCGTACTCATATTTCGAAGTGTGCAAGAAACCAAGGCATCCCTCCTGAACAGGTCACGCGAAACACGCACGGCGCCGCCTTGGGTTGTGAACTGGATCGTCCAACGAAAGAGACACGCCAAGAATGTGGATAAGTATGTGTACCTACATAGATATATACTACAACCACGCGCGCGCTTCGCGCGCGCGCTTAGGTTCTAGTCACTCCCGCGACCACGCTCAACACCGCCAATGCCGCCACGGCTACCACCGCCCTTTCGGCCATCACCGCGGTCACGACCATTTCTGATTCCATGTCCATTCTGGGCATGACCACCCCATCCACAACGATTGCACTGTCCACGACCACTATAACGGCCATTGGTTCAACCTCTGCCTGTACCGCCACCAATACCACTACCATTGCCACTGCCACTGCTGCGAATCCACGACCACTATCATTACCACCACGGCAAGTGCCACCGCCACGACCATCCTAATCGTCGGTAGGACCACAATCGGCGCACGAACTGAAGCCAACTGCAGCCATCACCACCACGACCCCTCCAGGGCTCTCCTGGGGGCGTCTTCTGGGCTCCTTGGCGCTGTCTTGGGAGCTTTTTGGGGCTCTCTCAGAGCCCTCTTGGGCCGTCTTGGGGCTCTGATGAGATGTCTTGGGGCCCTCTTGGGCCGTCTTGGAGCTCTCTAGGGCCCCTCTTGGGGGCCTCTTGGCCGAATTGGGGATCCCACTGCTTCTTCTCACATCCTCGTTATTCAGTGTTCACTTCTCTTCGCCTATGCTCGTTTGCTCGCCCTTCCTCCCCTCGGCCTTCTGCGCACTTTTCCTGCTCAGCCTTCCCTCTTCTTCCTCCTCGTCCTGATCTTTTCTGCATCTTCCCTCCTTCCCCCTGCTCCTCCTCCCTTCCTCCTCTTCCTTCTCCCTCCCCCCCGCGTGGATCTCCGCTGGAGAAGCCTCCGGAAACTCTGGGAGGCCAGGTTCGTCTGGGGCGTTTTGGGGGCCTTTTGGGGCCTCCTCGGGACCTCTGGGGGCGGAGGGCTTGAAATGTTCGTAGGGCATCCTCTTTGGGCCCCTGCTTGGGGCCGTCCTGGATCCCTCTTGGGCCGTCTTGGGGACCTCTTGGGCTAGCCAGGGGCCCTTCTGGGCTGTCTTGGAAACCTCTTGGGCTGTCTTGGGGCGATCCTGGCGGCCTCTCGGGCCGTCTTCGTTCCCCTGGAAGGGCAAGAGGCGAATCCCTGAAAAATGTATGTTTTCCGACGGGGACGGGGCCATTTTTGCATCTTGGGGCCCTCTGTTTTTTTGGGGGGGGCTGAAACGAGGGGCAAGGACTGGCAGCACATGACGCAAGGAAGGGTCACTGTCACCACTGGCAGCATTTAACGCAAGGAAGGGTCTCACGACCTTCTACCACAGGCCATGAAATATTCACATGGACTGGGCCGCCTCAAAAGAGGCAGATGCGAGGATTTGTGGCAACTCATGGAATCGCGCCGCGCAACGCGAAATGACAAGACCTCGACACCTGGCCGCTAAGGAGGGACAAAGGTAGTCAGAGTAGAGCGAGCCTCGAGATCTGCAATGATTGATGAAGCGAGAACTGGTTCTCTCTGACACGAAGGGCCACCGGGGTGAGTATCGCATGTAGCGTGAATTATACCACCCTCACCAGTCGAACAAGATTTGGCGAATGTGTCTACTGCATTCATCTTGGGGCCCATTTTGCACTGGCCAGTCTGGTAATCCACGTCAACCATATCAAGCGCAGCAAGCGTATCGAGCTCATTCATGTAAGGGCCCGACATACCGTACGTGTGGTAAATGTACGGGTAACCGTCTCCGATGCCAAACATCTGCTGCCCGAACGACCACCCCGTATTGCGCTCCGTGTCTTCGCGCACGTGCGGGGAGTCCGTGCAGGCGCAGTTGACGCCCTGGCACTTGATCGCCCACGAGTTCTTGGGGAGCACCTTGTAGCTCAGGCCCTTGATCGCGGCCCGCATCCAGCCGCAAGTGAGCACGTACTGGTCGTTATCGCCACAGAACCAGCTTTCCCTCCAGGTGCTGAGGGTCATGTGGAGCAGCTCCCTGGTCTTGGGCACGTTGCGGTAGTAGACGAAGCCCGAGTTGATGGCGGGGCAGTCCGGCTGCGCAGCGAAGTCCAGCCCCGAGGCGTGCAGGACCTCCGACGAGTCCCGAAGCCATGCTATGTCGGTGTCCGTGATGATCACATCCCGCCCTGCGTCAAGCACCATCTGGGCGACGGCCAACTTCGTCACACGGTTGACATACTCCACGTTGGTCCTGGCCGCCATGGCCTGAGCAAACTTTGTCATGAGTGGGTGGAACACCACGGTGATGTTTGGGAAGTGGCGCACATAACTGTCATACGCAGTCTGATCGCCTGCAAACAAAACAAACCGCTTCGACATATTAAGCCGCAAGAACCCACAGACGAGGTTCATGATCTGAGCGCTCTTCGCGTCGGCCAAAATGGGCCGGTCGTACGCCGCGGCAACTATGGGCAACGACTTGTCTGTCTGAGCGAACTCCCTCTTCAAGTAGTCTACGAGCTCGGCGTACCACTCCTGATCGTGCTCTCCAAGAAGCGGGTCGGTGCGAGGCGCTTTGCACCACGTTACATTCTTGTTACGATCCTTACAAGCTTGCTGGCCCCCCCAGAACAGCTTGAATCCATCTTTCAATATGCGCTTGAGGTCCTCGTTCGGTACAACGCCGTCCTTCCCAGGAACGCCTAATCCAGGCAGCCAACAGCCTGCAGCCGATTGAGATCGACCTACGAGCATCGAGTGATTTCCAGCGAAGTCGTCAACTGGCACATTAGTCTTCAACGCACTGCTGTATAAAAAACAGTGCGTGCTGACAAGAAGAAATAATGCCAGGGCCATGTGTCAGACGCTGCTGAATGTTCAACGGTACAGAAAACTGCGTCCCAAGTGTACGATAATCATATGCAGCGCCGAGACGGCCTGAGCTCAAATTGGCGTCTTGAGCCAAAATGGCTACGGATTTTGCATCTTGGGGCCCTCTTGGGAGGGCTCTTGGGGCCCTCTTGGGCTGTCTCGGGGGCTCCCGGGAGCCCTCTTGGAGCCATCGTCGGCATCTTCAAGCTACATTTCGAGGCTCGTGCGCCCTCTTGATCTGTTTGGCGGCCTCCGGCGCCCCAGAGGCCCCGGTACCCCCATGCGCGCTCGAGGTCGCGGTCCCGAGCCCCCAGTCGTAGCTAGGCTTGATCGGCCAACTCATGTAATCTCATTTTGGTCGCTTCCTACGTCAAGGGACTCCCCTCGAGGCCCTGCGCAAGCCTCGGAATCGTAATCATTAGTTAATGAATTTCCTTTTAAGTATTCAACGATTTGAGGCCCTCAAAGGCTTCCTGGGTTTTTTGGGGGAGGTGAGGGGGTCTGAATTGTGGTCTGTTGTGCAAGAGTAGACCGGGGGCCAAACTTGAAAAACAAAAAAAAAAAAAAAAAGAATTGTGGGATGTCCATTTTTTCCAGTTCCTCGGCCCTGTTCGGCGCTGTTTTTTGCTTGTGCCTCGCGGGTTTTGTTAGCCGGGCCCCTCAGGGGTGCGGCTTCCAGACCCTCTGGGGGTTCTGGAGGCCTCCTGGAGAGCCGTCGGAAGGGTGTCTCAGGCTGCGCGGGAGCGTGTTGGGCCGTTCTTTGCGTTCTGAGGGCTCCTTGGGGTCGTCTTGGGCTGTCCTTGGGCGTCTTGGGAGCCCCCCCGGAAGCCGGGAGACGCTGTACTGGCCAGATGTCGGGGGATTTGGGGGATCTCCGAGTCGGAGTCCCACTTTGAAAAAAAACGGGAATTCTGGGAATTCCTTTTTCCCAACCCTCCATGGTTGGGTATTCGTTTTGAATAGAGCACTGTGGTCGCGTCCCTCCTCCTCCTCCTCCTCCTCCTCCCGCCTCCCGCCTCCTCATGCCCTCTCTTCGCCGACGATGGGGGCTGCGATCTGCGACACTGTCGCCACTTTCGAGGGCTGCTGGTAATTAGGTCCTGCGCAGTGAGTCACTGCGCAGTTCTGAGCGAGACCTCGCCGTCCCTGGGGGGCTGCGATCTGCGAAACTGTCGCCTCTTTCGAGGCTTGCTGGTGGGTCCTGCGGAGTGAGGCACCGCGCAGATTTGAGCGAGACCTCGCCGTCCCTGGGGGGCTGCGATCTGCGAAAATGTCGCCACTTTCGAGGACTGCTGGTGGGTCCTGCGGAGTGAGGCACCGCGCAGATCTGAGCGAGACCTCGCCGTCCCTGCTGGGCTGCGATCAGCGAAACTGTCGCCTCTTTCGAGGGCTGCTAGTGGGTCCTGCGGAGTGAGGCACCGCGCAGATCTGAGCGAGACCTCGCCGTCCCTGGGGGGCTGCGATCTGCGACACTGTCGCCTCTTTCGAGGGCTGCTGGTGGGTCCTGCGGACTGAGGCACCGCGCAGATCTGAGCGAGACCTCGCCGTCCCTGGGGGGCTGCGATCTGCGACACTGTCGCCACTTTCGAGGGCTGCCGGTGGGTCCTGCGGACTGAGGCACCGCGCAGATCTGAGCGAGACATCGCCGTCCCTGGGGGGCTGCGATCTGCGAAACTGTCGCCTCTTTCGAGGGCTGCTGGTGGGTCCTGCGGAGTGAGGCACCGCACTGAAATCTGAGCGAGACCTCGCCGTCTGTGGGGGGCTGCGATCTGCGAAACTGTCGCCACTTTCGAGGGCTGCTGGTGGGTCCTGCGGAGTGAGGCACCGCGCAGATCTGAGCGAGACCTCGCCGTCCCTGGGGGGCTGCGATCTGCGAAACTGTCGCCACTTTCGAGGGCTGCTGGTGGGTCTTGCGGAGTGAGGCACCGCGCAGATCTGAGCGAGACCTCGCCGTCCCTGGGGGTCTGCGATCTGCGAAACGGTCGCCACGTTCGAGGGCTGCTGGTGGGTCCTGCGGAGTGAGGCACCGCACAAATCTGAGCGAGACCTCGCCGTGCCTGGGGGGCTGCGATCTGCGAAACGGTCGCCACTTTCGAGGGCTGCTGGTGGGTCTAGCGGAGTGAGGCACCGCGCAGCTCTGAGCGGGACTTCGCCGTCCTTGGGGGGCTGCGATCTGCGAGACCGTCGCAACTTTCGAGGGGTGCTTGGAGGGCCATATAGCGATCTGCGGAACTGTCGCCACGTTCGAAGACTGCTGACGGGTCCAGCGGAGTGAGGCACTGCGCAGATGTGAGCGGGACCTCGCCGTCCCCGGGGGGCTGCGATCTGCGAAACTGTCGCCACTTTCGAGGGCTGCTGGTGGGTCCAGCGGAGTGAGGCACCGCGCAGATCTGAGCGAGACCTCGCCGTCCCTGAGGGGCTGCGATCTGCGAAAGTGTCGCCACTTTCGAGTGCTGCTTGGGGGTCCTGCGGAGTGAGGCACCGCGCAGATCTGAGCGAAACCTCGCCGTCCCTGGGGGGCTGCGATCTGCGAAATTGTCGCCACTTTCGAAGGCTGCTGGTGGGTCTTGCGGAGTGAGGCACCGCGCAGATCTGAGCGAGACCTCGCCGTCCCTGGGGGTCTGCGATCTGCGAAACGGTCGCCACGTTCGAGGGCTGCTGGTGGGTCCTGCGGAGTGAGGCACCAGGCAGATCTGAGCGAGACATCGCAGACGTATATGCGCCCATGTCACGTCAACACCTCCGTATAACGTCTCCCTGGCTACTCATGCCCCGCATTGCGCAAGGGTTGGGTACGTCGCCAGGGTAATTTCCCAACCCTCCTTGGTTGGGTATTCGTTTTGAATCGGGCACTGTGGTCACGTCCCTTCTCCTCCTCCTCCTTCTCCCGCCTCCCGCCTCCCCCTTGTCTCCTCTCGCCTTGTGGGTGCCGCGTGTGTGTGCGTGTGCATCTTGCATGCGGTACCTCTTATGTGCATCTTGCATGGGGTGCTGCGATCTGCGACACTGTCTCCACTTTCGAGGGCTGCTGGTGGGTCCTGCGGACTGAAGCACCGCGCGGACCTGAGCGAGACCTCGCCGTCCCTGGGGGGCTGCGATCTGCGACACTGTCGCCACTTTCGAAGGCTGCTGGTGGGTCCTGCGGAATGAGGCACCGCGCGGACCTGAGCGAGACCTCGCCGTCCCTGGGGGGCTGCGATCTGCGACACGGTCGCCACTTTCGAGGGCTGCTGGTGGGTCCTGCGGACTGAGGCACCGCGGGGACCTGAGCGAGACCTCGCCGTCCCTGGGGGGCTGCGATCTGCGAAAGTGTCGCCACTTTCGAAGGCTGCTGGGGTGTCCTGCGGAGTGAGGCACCGCGCAGATCTGAGCGAGACCTCGCCGTCCCTGGGGGGCTGCGATCTGCGACACTGTCGCCACTTCCGAGGGCTGCTGGTGGGTCCTGCGGATTGAGGCACCGCGCGGACCTGAGCGAGACCTCGCCGTCCCTGGGGGGCTGCGATCTGCGACACTGTCGCCACTTTCGAGGGCTGCTGGTGGGTCCTGCGGACTGAGGCTGAGCGGACCTCGGTCCCTGGGGGGCTGCGATCTGAGATGGCTGCTGGTGGGTCCTGCGGACTGAGGCACCGCGGGGACCTGAGCGAGACCTCGCCGTCTCTGGGGGGCTGCGATCTGAGAAACTATCGCCACTTTCGAGGGCTGCTGGTGGGTCCTGCGGACTGAGGCACCGCGGGGACCTGAGCGAGACCTCGCCGTCCCTGGGGGGCTGCGATCTGAGAAACTATCGCCACTTTCGAGGGCTGCTGGTGGGTCCTGCGGCCTGAGGCACCGCGGGGACCTGAGCGAGACCTTGCCGTCTCTGGGGGGCTGTGATCTGAGAAACTATCGCCACTTTCGAGGGCTGCTGGGGTGTCCTGCGGACTGAGGCACCGCGGGGACCTGAGCGAGACCTCGCCGTCCCTGGGGGGCTGCGATCTGCGACACTGTCGCCACTTTCGAGGGCTGCTGGTGGGTCCTGCGGAATGAGGCACCGCGCGGACCTGAGCGAGACCTCGCCGTCCCTGGGGGTGGGGGCTGCTTCAGTAACCACTACGACGCCCTTATATACTGATCGGGGGCCTGCGAGCCTTCCGATTGCTGCCCGCAAAATCACATGCGTCCATGTTACGTCATCACACCCGTTATAGCAATCCTGATGTATTTGCGCCCAGCATTGCGCGAGGGTTGGGCACGTCGCCAGGGTAATTTCCCCCCCGAAAAAAAAACATAAATCTTCGAGGGTTGGAAGCGGGAAAACGTCAGAAGGCGAAAACAAATGAAAAAAGACATGGGAATTCAACGATGTTACCCTCTTTGGGCTCTCTCGGGACGGCTCTCGCAGCTCTCTTTGGCTGTTTGGGGCCTCGTCGGGGTCTTTTTGGGGCCTCTCAGGGATCGGGGGTGTGTTGGGGGCCTCGAGGGAGTCTCAGAGGCCTCTCGGAGGTCGCTGGAAGCCTCCTGCTCCCGCTCTTGGGCCCATTTTGGGCATGTTCTTGGGTAGTCTGGGGCTGTCCTGGGCGCCTCTTCGGCAGTCTTGGAGCCTTCTTGGCTCGTCTCGGGGCCGTCCTGAGGGTCTCATGGGTGGTCTTGGGGCGGTCTTGGGAGCCTCTTCGAAAATGCGAGAAGCCAAAAACATTGTAAAAACAAATGGAAATCGACGATTTGGGCCTCTTCGGGCCGTCCCGGGACGCCTCTCGGACCTCTCTTGGGGTCTCTTGGAGGCCACCTGGGAGCCTCGAGAGCCACCCGAAGGCTGACTTGGGCTGCTTGAAACGTCTTGGACCATCTTTTCGCATTCTGGGTGTTCCTGGGAGGCGTCTTGGGCCCCTCCTGGGGCGCTGTGGAGGCTCCCCGGAAAGGCCTCTTGGGCTAATGGGGCGTTCTTGGGCGGTTTGAGCGCCTCGTGGGCCGTCTTGGCCCCCTCGTGGGCCGTCTTGGGGCCCTCTTGGGGGCATCCTCGACCGGCTTGGGTGCCTCTTTGGCCGTCTTGGATGCAGTGGACGCCCAAAAGGCAAACACGCCAAAAATATCAGTTCTCCCATAGGATATCTACGATGTTTGCTTTTTGGGCCACTCTCGAGGTGCATCTTGGGGCGTCTTCGGGGCCTCTTTTGCTGTTTTGTTCGGGTCTCATG